CAATTACACCTACTAATGCCACGTACCCCATACTTAAATAGAAGGGAAAAAGGTTTCCTTAATACTAATGAACAATTTATATAAATTGGGAAACATATAACTCATCCGTACGACTTTTGTCAAAGTTGGAACATAGCTTCGGCTTTATGTGTCATTAAGGCGTGATTAATATCAATTAATCACTACTTAGGTTTAATTATTTAATTAAACATAATGCTTAATTACCAAAATTATTCCGAACGTAAACGGTACGTCGAAAATAATTTTCGGTAAACTCAACTGAAAATAATTAATTCCGGAAATAATAATCGATAACATTATTATATCGGAATTAAAACATAATTTATACTGATGAAATATCGGGATATTACAATCCTCCCTCCTTACAAAATTTCCGTCCTCGGAAATTCAAAACATAACTGATATACATGAACTATGTACATAGGATAAGGAAATATGTACATCAAAACTCAAAATCTGGAAAACGAGCGCGAATATCGGACTCCGCCTCCCAAGTAGCTCCGTGGCGATCCCACTGAATACGCACGAGGGGAACATCTCGCTTCCGGAGCCGACGAACCTGACGGTCTAGTACAGCTACCGGTCGCTCCTCGTATGATAGATCTGGCTGAACCTGAATATCGGTATGAGGAATGATATGATCGGGGTCGCACACGTATTTACGCAACATAGATGCGTGGAAAACATTATGAATGCCTGATAACTCGGGAGGTAGGGCTAATCGATACGCAACCTCGCCCACTCGCTCAAGAACCTTGAACGGACCGATGAATCGAGGGTGCAGCTTCCCTCTCTTTCCGAATCGAACGACTCCGCGAATCGGACGAACTCTGAGAAAGGCTGGCTCGCCAACCTCGAAATGAATGTCTCATCGATGATGATCGGCGGAAGATTTCTGTCGACTCTGAGTTGTTTTGAGTCTCTGTCGGATCAACTCGACCTGATCTGCTGTTTCCTCGATCAGCTTAGGACCGATTACTCGCCGCTCTCCGACGTCGTCCCAATAAAGAGGGGAACGACACTTGCAACTGTAAAGTGCCTCGTAATGAGCCATCTGGATAGAAGAATGATAGTTGTTGTTATACGCAAACTCGGCGTACGGCAACAACGACTTCCACTTAGCACCCCTGTCAACAACCAAAGCGCGAAGCATATCCTCAAGCGTCTGAATAGTCCGCTCGGACTGACCATCTGTCTCCGGATGGTAGGCTGAACTGAACTCTAGCTTCGTGCCCATCGCCTTATGTAAACTGTGCCAGAATCGACTGACGAATCTGGGATCTCTGTCAGATACGATCGTAACGGGCACTCCGTGGAGTCGGATGATCCCACGGGTATATATCTCAGCCAACTTGTCCAGAGACATCTTCATCGAAACGGGTAAGAAATGCGCGACCTTAGTCAATCTGTCGACCACAACCCAGATAGCGTCGTGATGTTCAGACGACCTCGGTAATCCCGTAACGAAATCCATCGTGACTTCCTCCCACTTCCACCTTGGAATCGGTAGTGGCTGCAGGAGGCCGATCGGACTCTGATGTTCGGCTTTGACTTGATGACAGGTAAGACATCTCCTGACGAACTCGGCGACGTCCTTCTGCATGCCTCGCCACTAGAACGACCCTTTCAGGTCGTGATACATCTTTGTGCTCTCGGGATGGGCTAGATAGGGTGCGGTATGAGCCTCTGATAAAATCTTTTTCCGCAACGCCTCGACCTTCGGGACCACAATCCTACCTCTGAACTCTAAGGCACCATCGGCACCTAACTGAAAATCCTCGACGCCTTCGGCGCGATCCTTGGCCTCCATAACACGAATGAACTCGTCAGAAGCCTGCTCTCGCCGGATTCTCTCTCAGTGTCGGCTGAAGCTGCATGGCACTGACACTGGTACTGGTACTCCCCGAAACGGCTATGGGAAGTGCATCGATCGCCTGAAGCTGCATCCGGGCAAACTCCTGAATCAATGGACTCTGCTGAGTAATGACGTACGCCAAGTCACCCCTCACCTTTCGGCTTAGGGCATCCGCAACGACGTTCGCCTTTCCCGGATGATACTGAATAGAACAATCATAATCCTTGACGAGCTCTAACCAACGGCGCTGTCTCATATTAAGCTCTTTCTGCGTGAAGATATACTGCAGGCTCTTATGATCTGTGAAAATCTCGCAACGTCCGCCGTAAAGATAATGTCGCCAGATCTTGAGAGCATGAACAACGGCGGCTAACTCCAAGTCGTGCGTCGGATAGTTCTGCTCATGTGGCTTAAGCTGAGGTGAAGCATACGCGACGACCTGGCCATCCTGCATAAGGACGCATCCCAAGCCCTGTCTCGAAGCATCGCTGAAGATGGTGAAACTCCGAGAAGGATCGGGAATAGTCAACACCGGTGCTGAAGTTAACCTCCTCTTGAGCTCCTGAAAGCTCGCCTCACAACGATCAGTCCACTCGAACTTCACAGACTTCCTCGTCAGCTGGGATAGAGGGAGGGCGATCTTGGAAAAGCCCTCGATAAACCTGCGGTAATAACCAGCTAGACTGAGAAAACTGCGAACCTCGGACGGACTCCTCGGTGTCGACCAGTTCTGAACGGCTGAGACCTTAGAAGGATCCACCTCGATACCTGCCTGAGTAATCACATGACCCAAAAAGGATACTCGCTGGAGCCAGAACTCGCATTTGGAGAATTTTGCATACAACTTTTCTCGTCTGAGGGTTTCAGGAACCACCCTCAGATGCTCCTCGTGCTCCTTTTGGCTCTTAGAGTAGATAAGAATATCGTCAATGAAGACAATAACAAACTGATCGAGGTAGGGATGGAAAATACAGTTCATGAGGTCCATGAAAACGGCTGGAGCATTGCTGAGACCGAATGGCATGACGACAAACTCGTAATGGCCGTAACGAGTCCTGAAAGCGGTCTTAGCGATATCTGACTCTTTAATCTTCAGCTGGTGGTAGCCTGATCGAAGATCAATCTTCGAGAACACACAGGCTCCCCTTAGCTGATCAAATAGGTCATCGATCCTGGGAAGCGGGTAATTGTTCTTGATCGTCAACCGGTTAAGATCCCGGTAGTCGATACACATGCGCATGGATCCGTCCTTCTTCTTAACAAAGAGAACGGGTGCTCCCCACGGTAACACGCTCGGCCGGATGAAACCGAGTCGTAACAGCTCCTGAATCTGCGCCTTAAGCTCCTGCAACTCCTTAGGCGACATGCGGTACGGGGCTTTGGATACTGGACCGGCCCCTGGAATGAGATCGATAGAGAACTCCACCTGCCGGTTAGGCGGTCCTCCTGGTAGCTCGTCTGGAAATACGTCCACAAACTCTCGAACGACTGGAACATCGGGAGGTGAACGTGCTTTCTGAGAATCGTCGACAAGGCTCACCAGATAACCCTGGCAGTTGCCTCGTCGCAGTAGCTTAGTGGCTTTCGATATCGAAACAACATGAGGCAGTGAACGATTCTTGGAGCCAAAGAAAGTGATCGACTCGTCTCCCGGAAGATAGAGAGTGATCTCCCGGTCATGACATCTGATATCTGCATGATAGAAGGATAGCCAATCCATTCCGAGAATAAGGTCGAAGTCTATCATCTCGAGAACAAACGCGTCGGTAGACAATACTCGGCCACCGATGGAAAGGCTAAGGTCTAAGGCTTTAGCTGAGGTCACTATCTTTCGTCCCGAGGCTAAACTCACCTCGAGAGGATCGACAGCGGTAACGGCATGAACTCTGATGGCATCAAGACATCATCGTGAAATGAATGAATGCGTTGCTCCAGTATCGAACAAAGCGAAAACAGGAATATCATTAAGCACAACCATCCCTGACATAGTACCTGGCTGCTGTGCTGCTTCGGCCTGATCAACTGCGTAGACTCGGGCCTGCTGTCTGCCCCTCTGTTGCTGCTGCTGAGGCTGCCTATGCGCCTGCTGACGTGGCTGCTGCTGCTGTGGTGGCTGCTGAGGCTGCTGGGGCTGCTGCTGAAGTCTCTTCGGACAGCGACTCGCAAAATGTCCAGGCTCGTGGCAGTAGTAGCAGATATCCTGACCCATGTGGCACTCTCCCCGATGAATTCGTCTGCAAGTCGGGCACGGTGGAACCGGCTGCTGTCTCTGTCGGGTCCTCCGGTCAGTCTGTGCGCCCTTTCCCTTCTTTTTCTTCTCCTTTGCCGGCTAGGCAGTTGGTAGAGCTGGTGGAGCTGTAAATGGCTGAACTGGGGCGGATGGCTGGGCACGATCACGGACGGCCTCCCCCCTGATGCTAGCGTCCACCTCCTAGGCGATAGAAACTGCACGAGCGTAGGTCTGTGTCCCGTGTCCCACGATGTTATGACGGACTGCTGGAAAAAGCCCGTCGATGAACCGCTGCGCTCTCTGAGCCTCCGTGCGAACCAGGTCTGGGACGAAAGCTGCAAGTCTCGTAAACTCTCGCTCGTACTCATCAACCGTACGAGTGCCCTGCTGGAGCGCTAAGAACTGACGCTCCATCTCTGCCCGATAATAGGAGGGGTAGTACTTTTCACGGACTAGCTCCTTGAGCATGTCCCACGTACATCCCGCTTTTTCACAGGGACGCATGCTCCAGTAGGCATTCCACCAGAGCCTAGCATCACCAGTGAGCTAAAGCTGAGCGCAAACTACGTGATATCTATCGGGGCAGTCCATGACCTCAAAGATAAACTCTAGGCCCTGAATCCATTCATCTACAATGCGGGGATCTCCCTGCCCTGAGAACTTTTCAGCGTGATAGTCGCGGAACTGTGCGACTACAATAGCCTGAGTAGGAGCCTGATGATCGGGTTCCCTACGTGGCGGCATCTGAACATTGAGAAAATTTAACATTATTGAATACGTGATAACATTCTGACTGATTACTAAGGCACACAGATTTCTTGACGAGTTGCCAAAAATGGCCGATAATTACTGACATGAATCCTGAAGAACTCTAGAGTCATATCAGAAAATACTAATGTCTAGAGTCATATCTGAATGCCCTGAATTCTAGAGTCATATCCGAACTCTAATGTCTGAACCTGATTCGAGCATCTTAAACTAAGGTCCTGATCCATAATTCTGAGCATAGACAAAGTAATATGTTTATAACTGAAACACATAAATCAGCACTTACCTGTCGTCGGCGGGGCGTGAGCATGACGGTTCAGGTGTTTCTGAAATATTACTGACTGAAAACTTTTCAGAGACGCGAAAACGTGCTCTGATACCAATTGTAACACCCCGCCTTATCGTAAAATCAGAGTGCGAAAATTTCGCAAAGTTATTTAAAAATAAAATCTTTTACTTTGCGAAAACTGATTTGGGTGATACCGTAAAAACGTGACTTAATTTGGAAAACCGTTATCTGAATTTTTTTATAAAATCATACTGTTACTGAAAGCATAAAGTTTTCCAAAAGTCCAGTCAAACTATAAGTTCATCAAAACCATCGTCAGCGGAAACGTAAATCGTCATCATATATATACAATCAAAACATAAAAGTCCTGAAGCCTTCGTCATCTCACGCTCCCTGCCCGACATCCTGACCTGAAAAACATGATAAAAATGAGAAATGAGCACTATGGCACTGTGCTCCGTAGAAACTCATACTAATGTAAACATTGAAAATAATAACAACATCATGATATCGGCATATACATAACCTCAACATGAAACCGGTAATAACATGAACATGAATCTGATATCGTCACGCAACGTGACCCTGACCGTTACCTCATCTGCCGGCAAGAACTAATGCCGGACACCATGTGCACACTCTAGTGGGCAGACTAGGGCCACTAGAACCCAGAATGGACCGGCGACCATTCCGAGCGGATATTGAACTGAAATACATACCTCAAACATGGTACCGTAATTATCAATGTAGTACTTAGTCTGAGTCCCCACCTGAACTGCTGAAACTGAACGGTAGTGCTGATGCCTGATCAAACTGAAAATAATATAAACAATTACTATTGACTATGCTCAGACTGTTAACTTAACTGATTAATTTCGTTAAGATGCTCTACTAAACCTGACATGATATTTAGACTTAACCGGAATAACCGGAACTGAACTGACATGAACTGATCGGACATGAATTTACTGAACTGAAATTATCCCGGAAATTTAACTGAAATGGCACTTAAAATATGAACCGGGATTAGAATAATATTATTTGGGTCAAACCGGTATTAACCGGTCTGAACCGGTCTAGCCGGACCGCCGGTCTGCTCGGACCGGGCGGCCGGCGGCTGACTCAGTCCACTGCCTG